CAAAATGTGGCTCTCGCCTCAGCGCCGCGCGCATTCGTTTGAAACATTTGCAAGAGCTTCACGGATTGAGGGCGGCTGCTTTTCAAAATTTTGCGCTCGCCTTGACGCCGCGCACATTCGCTAAAATGTGCAAGAGTGTCACGGGTTCCCATGATCAGCGTACCAGAAGCGGTGTTTTGGATAGATTCGGCAGCATGAGGGTGCAACAGTTACGTTGATTCGCGGTGTTGAAATCCCAACAGTGGCGTTCTGGTGCGATTCAATATCGTCAAGACGCAGTCTGGTTGATCCGTGGCGTTGGAATTCCGAGAACAATGTTTTGGCATGCTTCAGGGTCTTCAAACTGCTGTCTTCCAACGAGGCAGTTCCCTCAGTGGACATGAACCGTTGTAGGGGCCTATGAGAAGGAAGCTTGGAGGGAGGCTTTAATCCAACATCGTGGATGACTCCTGGGTTTACACTGGTCCTCCTCCTCCTCCTCCTCCTCCTCGTTCTCCGTCCTCCTCCTCCTCCTCTTCCTCCGCCCTCCGCCTCCTCCTCCGCCTCCTCCTCCTCTTCCGCCTCCTCCTCCTCCTCCTCCTCCTCCTCCTCCTGCTCCCGCTCCTGCTCCGCGCCCGCCCGCCCGACTGCCCTCCCTCCCTCCCTCGCCCTGGGCGCGCCGCAGGGCCTGCGCGCTCTCCAGGGGCATGGCCCTGCCCTGCGGGCGGAGGGGTGCCCATGCGGCGCCCGAGGGGCGGAGGGCGGGCCGAGGAGGGCCGGCCTTTCGCCAGCGGAGGGGGGGAGGAGCGAGGAGGAGCGAGCGAGGAGCGAGGAGGAGCGAGGGTGGGGAGGCGGAGGAGCGAGGAGCGAGCGAGGGGGAGCGAGGAGCGGGGATAGCCAGGCAGGCGGACGAGCGAGGGCGGGCCGAGGAAGAGCGAGGACGGGAAGGGGGAGCCAGGAGGAGGAGGAGTTGAAGCAAGGAGGAGGAGGAGGAGGAGTAGGAGGAGGAGGGAGCAGGAGCGAGGGGGGGAAGGGGGGGCGAAAATGAGGAGCGAGGATGGGGAGGGGGGGGGAGCGAGGCGGCTCGGGGACGAGGAGGAGGAGGAGGAGGAGCATGGAGAATGAGGAGGAGGACAAGTGCAAACACAAGACTCACCAACGATGTCGCAATCCATCCTCCCTCCAAATTCCATCTCCACGGGCCCCTACACAGATTCATTGTTTCAGAATCGTAACAAGTGAAGAAATGTCAGGCGAAACATCCGACCCGTCCGACCGACAAGTCTGGGGGTGCGACAAGGAGTTCTTCACAAATATTCGCAAGGCCGAGGGATGGACGGGGGGAAGAGATGCGAGGAGCAATGAAAGAGGAGGAAGGAGGAACGAAGAGCGAGGAGGTAAAAGGTGCCGACAGCACCGACAGAGCGAACGAGCGCACAGGTTGTACAGCCCTGGCGCAGCACCTAGCTGATTCGAAGGCCACAATTTGAAAAGGACCGTCCTCCATCCGTGAAGCTCTTGCACACTGGAAACTATGTCAGAGATATTTCCAAATATAAATTCCAGCCCCAAAAAATAGGTTCGTTCAACGGACTTTCCGGGAAATATCCGACCCCAGAAAATTTTTCCAAAGTATGTCCGGAAATGTCTGAAAAATATCCAGGGACATTATTTGAGCAATTCTTTGGTAATTCGTTACTACTTATTTCTGAAACGCCTTCGGTCCAGTTCTGGCGCGTTACAACGAGAGCCACATGTTGAAAACGGCCCGCCCTCCATTTGCGAAAATCTTGAAAATGTTGAAAACAAATTTGCAGGGCGCTTAGGCGAGATCCACATTTTGAAACGGCCCGCCCTCCATCTGTGAAACTTCTGCAAATTTTGAAAACGACTGTGCGCGGCGTTTATGCGAGAGCCGCATTTTGTAAACAACCTGCCCTCCATCCTCGAACCTGTTGCAAACGTTTGAAGCGAATTTGAGCGGTGCTGGGGCGAGAGCCACATTTTGAAAACCACCTGCCCTCCATCCGTGAAACTCTTGCAAATTTCAAACTTCAGGCATGATCGCAGATGGTGAGGAAATCTCAGGCGAAACGCCCGATAAGCCCTGTCGACGAAACTTTCGACTGGCCTCGGGGTGCGACAGGGAGGAGAAAAAAAGAGGGATGGACGAGGGGGGCCAGTGCAAAACCAACGACGATGCAATACACCGTCCCTCCAAAATGTCTCTTCATAGCCTCCTATAAGAATTCAGTTCCATCGCGGGAAGTGCCCCATTGGAAAACACATGGCTGAGAATCCTCAATCGTGCCAAAACGCAATCCTTGGCGCTTCAGCGTCGCGAATCAACGTGACTGTTGCGTCCTGACAAGGCCACACCGTGCCAGGACACCATTCCAGCACCTCAGCACCGCGGATCAACAAGACCGGAACGTTATGACAATCCACAGTCGCGCGAGAGCGTCAGTCGTGAGACTTCAACCAAACGAATCCTCGGAATACATACGAATCACCCTCCATCCTCGAACCTGCCGCACACGTGTTGGACGACTGGGCGCGGCGCTGGGGCGAAAACCACATTTTGAAAACGGGCCGCCCTCCATCCCTGAAGCTGTCGAAGACGTTTGGAGCTAATGCGCGCGGCGCTAAAAAGCGAGAGCCGCATTTTGAAAACGGGCCGCCCTCCATCCTTGAAGCCGCTGCAAATTTCAAGTTTCAGGAGCATGACCCGAAAAGAATTCGCAAGCGAAACGCCAGGGCTGCCCTACTGACACGTTTGGGGGTGCGATACTAACAAATTATCCCGAAGGGAAACGACTGGATGAGGGCGACGAGTGGGAGGAGGACTCCAGGAGGACGAAACGGACGAGCAGGATGAGGAGGAGGAGGAGGACGAGGAGGAGGAGGAGGGGGAGGTGGACAACGAGGAGGGGGATGAGGAGGAGGAGGAGGAAGAGGAGAAACGAGGATAATGGGGAACGAGGGAGGGCGAGGAGGGGGGAGGAGGGAGGAGGAAGTGGAGGAGGAGGAGGAGGAGGTGGAAGAAGAGGTGGACGAGGAGGCGGAGGGGTAGAGACGAAAAGGAAGAAGAGGAGGAAAATGAGAAGGAGGAAGAGGTAAGGAAAGGTAAGGTTTTACCGAAACCGATGTTTCCACGATTTGGGGAAAAACTTGGGGTGTCCCCTCAAAACTCGCCGTCGGCACCATCCTGACCGGAGGGCGCCAGCGACGATGCCGTTTGGCAGGTGTCGGCGCACGGCCTGGGAACGTCCAGAGCTGCTGCGCGAAGCCACTTTCAAATTGTTTCGGCACGGTCAAACCTTGCCCCTCGAGCTCAAGGTCGCCAGCAAGCCGCGGACCTTCTCCTTCGAGGATATGAACAGCTGCAAAATTTTAGACTCGAGCACGGGGTCGCTGATCGCACAATCATCAACCTGTGAATATTAGAATCCAGCATTTTCCCGGCACGACAAAAATTAACAAAGAGCTGGTACTGCACTACTGCCTGGTTCGAAATGGTCGAGAAACTTGCGAAGGACAGCCTGCTGCGGAGCATCAGCACGGCTCATGAGAACGAACACGGCGCCTGCGAGCATGAAGCTGTCTGGAGCACCGAAACAATGACCCTTCATGCCCTTCACGCGGGGCTAATACTCCTTGTCGTAGGCAATCTTCATCGCGACGCGAATGGGGCCAGCAACTTTGAGCGAGAACTGAAGAGTACAAACCGCCTCTGGGAGACGTTTCTTTTGGGCATTGATAACACCTAGCTTAATGGCAGTATCAGCTTTGTTCTCACCGGTGCCGTCATCGACGGCCTGTCGTTTGCGAGCCTGGACACCTGAATCAGCGGGAGCGGCAGCAGCGGGGGGCCTCTCTCCGATATTACCGCAACGAGCAGCCCACTGCTTCAGCAAATCCCTATCGTTCGAGAATCTGGTCGCCCAAAGGGAGGCGTTGCCCGGGACGCCACTGAGCCTCTGAGTAGCTATCGGACGACACGTCGAACATATGACAATCATGAGGAGGGGGAACAATGTGAGAGAATGCTGTAGCAGAGCCTCGAGACCTCAGGCACGCTTTGTTAACTAAGTGTTTGAGAAAGGTGTTCGCTAGCAATACGCGTGGTAGATTACATACCCCAACATGACAGACACGCGTTGGCAACTGGGATCGCACTTGCCAGTTCACGGACGCTATGATTAGGAAGTTGAAAATTAGCTTGGCGCAGTCGTAGCTGTCGCCTTGTAGGGAACTCGGCGCCACGGATACCTTCCTCGATCCGCAGGCAAAAGCCACGCGCGAACCCCGAGGGAAGGGGGGGGATGGGGGGGGGCGCCCCGGGGACCCGGTGGGGGCATCTGCTCGCCCGCGTGCTGACCTGCCAGAACGGGGACCTGCGCGTAGCAACGCACGCCGCACTCCTTCATCGCAAGAGTAGTTACAGGTCACGCGCGGAGAAGCTCGACGCGTCGCGGGTACTCGCCCGCGAGGAAGAGGTACGAAACATCGTCTTCAGACCGCGGCCGCCGCGAGCGAATATGACCAATCCGAAACCACGCGCGACCTAGACACTGCAACGCCGAACCCCCCAGAAGCTTTCCCCGGACAGAGCCCCGATAATCTGAAGGTTGCAATGGGGGCGCCGAGCAACGCATTGCCGCCGTGTGTACATCTGCGCGCGCGGAGGGGGGGCGGGACTGGAATCGGCTGCAATTCATTGAGGACCTGCGTGATTTGCGCGGCCTGGCGCTGGACATGTCCCCGCCCGTCCACCCCAGCCTTCCAGCTAGCCTGCCCCCCGGCAGCCCCTTCGCCGCGGGCGCCCGGGCGCCCTTGAGCTCGCGCGCGCCGTCGCGGAACAAAGCCGCAGCCGCTCGGCCGGGAGCGAGCGCGCCTTCCAACTGCCGCGCGGAATACCGTGCTATTCCATCTCCCATCGGCGTGACGCTGCTAGACTCCTCGCAAAAGACCGCGCCCCCGCCGCGCCTGTTGCGCGCGACGCGGGGCCCCGGAGAAAACGAGCTGCTGCCAACCTGGAGAAGAGGAGCTGAACGCCTGCAGGGCCGCGCTGCCTCATCGGGATTCGGCCCCCCGCCGCCGCCCAAGCGCCTCCCCTCTGCGCGCGCCTGCCCCCGTGAAGACGCGCCGCGGCTGCGGCGGCTAATATGCCACCTGGACGCGCAGGGCGTTCTCGTCGACAAGAGTTGGCGCGGGCGCCGACGACGCTTGGCATGTCTCCTCGGTGGCCAGCGCCGATTACGTTTAATATCATCAGCACTTCGAGTGAACGCGCGAGCTGAGCCCTAGCGAGATCGCCCACAAGAGAAACATACAGACACTCCGACTAAGCGCGCAGACTTAAGCGACCGCGCAAGCCGTCGGTCAGGCAGCACTTGAGACCGCGGGGTCGCAACGTCGCGCGCAGGGCGCCCTCGGCAAACACCTCCCTCCACGGATCCACGATAAGTGCCGCGAAAAAGAAAAGCGCGCAGCGGCGCCCCCAGGAGGGGCCCAGAACCGATGCCCATTTCGAGAAGACCACCCCCGCACTCAAAACATACATGACCGCGCGGCAACCGTTCAGCAAGAAAACGCGGAAGCGAACTCGCCCGAGTTCCAGCGGACGAATAGCATCAGCAGATTAATTGATTGCACGCGCAATGGAACGCATTGGTAGCGTCGAAAACAATCACCGTTGAAACCCAAACCTGCGCCACGTAGTCCCTCTTGCACCAGGCTCCGAACAAGGGCGGCGCCCTCCCTCCTCCTGCGCCCAAGGTAGCCGCAGGCAAAACTGCGAGGCGCCTCGTAGGAAAGTGACTGGCTAGCTTTCCAGGGGCACGTGCAGTGCGCCTTCCCGCAGGGGTCTTAGCTATGAGCCTGTCGAAGCCTAGCGCAATCCTTGTTCCCGCGAACGTCCGACTGCAATGCCAAGTCCGAAGAGCCCCAACACGACAGCGAACCGCAACCAAGATCACGAACAGACATTGCCCAATTTCAAGCAAGTCCCTGCTCTCTCCTGCAGCACCCAGACCCGCCCTACTGCCAGGCTTGAACTCACGGGGCCAGAAAAACACTCTTCAAACGCTGGCAGGAGACGACCACGACGGACGCCCGCAGCGAGGGCCGGCTTTCCTAAACGAGCCCGAGATTCTGCCGTGCACCTCCGACGTGGCAAGAGTAGCCTCGCCCATGTCATCACCTAGTCAAACGGGCATCGAAGGCGTCATCGCACGTGGGGGCGCAAGCAACAAAGCCCCCTTCGCCGCCAAGCTTCGGGCGTGCAGCGAGCGCAGCTACAGACACAGTTCAATGAGTTTCGCCAGCGCCTCTGAAGTGTTTTTCGGCCTTGTGTCGCGTTGTGGGGCCGCCTGGAAAATCAAACGCCACTGGCCCAACTGCGCCGTTCTACATTCAAGTGTAGCGGATATGAACTTTGTCTGGTCAGCGTCTCCGCATCGAACGCAACTTGTCCCAGCGCGCGATTGGCGGCGCCTGGAAATTCACGCCGATCCTCTCCAAACAAAACAACGCGACTACGCTTGTTATGATCCCATCGGACCTTGCATTCACTCTCGGGAAAGAGCGGCCCTATACCAAGAATGGCTATCACAGGAAATTGATATCGTCGCGGTCTCGCGTTGATAATTGCATCGCGTATCAATGTTGTTCCCACGCCCTGCGCGATGAAGCATGTCTACACACATCCCGACGCGAACAGATCTAAGCCACCCGTGCTGTAGAAATACCGTCGCCATGGTAATACGCCGGCGTGCACTCGTATAAAGTGTTCGGCGCGCACAGGTGGTGCTCCTCCAGAACCTCTCGGCTGAAGCAGCCGTTGGTGCTCTCCCTGTCTGCGTTGTAATGCCTCACGGCGTCACGGGTGATTGATCCCAATCTAGCGCTGGCGTCCAACAAATTATGGGCACCACTGTCGTAGGAAACTCACGAATCAGCGCCTTCAGCGTGCCCCAGGACTGTCTACATACATGTCGTGCGGCAGTACGCCCACGACCTCCTGGAGGCTCGACGGGAGCGTATGCCACGATGATGGCCACGTCCGCGAGCACCGCCTTGAATCTTACTGGGCCCATACGTCGTCCCGCGAGATCTCCATGGAACGTCAAAGCTCTGCGCACTTGCTGTGCTGACAAACAGTGTCAGGCACCATCGGCGCACATCCTGTTGGGCGTCCAGAGCTCTCCCCGCTGCGACCCCATCGGGAACGCAGAAGACGTCCAAGGCAATCCTGAGTACAAAGGAGGCCTTTCGCCACTGGAGTGCTTAAAGCCTGAAGTGCCCACTACCCCACAACTCCGACACTGCCGAACAGCATGTTGCCGAGCAGCATCTTTCCATCTCGCGAACAGCAGGCTCCATGCGCAGCAGCGCCTGTGCATGGCCGCCCGAGGCTGGCACCTTGGGGAAGGGGTCGGGACAGTCGAGGGCATTCCTGGTGGCGCTCGTCGCCCCTCGCCAAAAAAGGATGTGTGCCTCGGGGCTGGGGGGTGAGGA